TGGCATGGCCTGAGGCTGAGCAGGGATTGCCAGGTCAGCTGGAGGCCTTTAACACAAACCTCTCTACGACACAGGCAAGCTTAGCTTCTAAAATCAGGAATTTTAAAAACTATTGGCAAAGATTAACTGATTTGAGCTTACTAAGTTAAATTACATCTAAGGAATATTTAGGCTTGGTGAAAGTGTGTTTCACTTTATCATATGTGAATCCTGAATCCAAGATACACTAATTTCTAAGAAACACAGCAATTAAACTGCTTTGCCAAAAGTATGGCAAGGATCATTTGGTTAAGCCACCATCTAGCATAGACATTGAAAGCTCTAAGATGTATGTGGAAAGATAAATATCTATGCTTAGCTTTATCTTTAAGATGTTTTTATAGTGATTATTCTGTGAAATAATATTCATAACCTGTGGACATATTGTGAAACAGTTTTCCAATATCAGGGCCATCACTGCATTTTTGGGAGGATGCAACTGTTTCCTTTTTAAAGCTACCAAAGAAACCATCAGAAGAAAAGATTTGTGCTCATCTTTCATTAATCTGACAGACAAAAGTAAGTTTGATTTTAGGAAGAATTTTGTATACAAAGCGTCTTGTCATATAAATACTTAGGACCAAGTTTTATCTCTTTCTCTCAAGTTTGGGAACTTTTGTTCCTCAATTGAAGACAGCAGCATGAGCAGGCCATGAATCAGAACGAAATCATAATCTCTACACATAATTTCCTGCACAATTAATTCAAGATAAAACACAATTTTTCTTCCAACCCTAACCTCTGTAACATTAATACTGACACAACACTAAGAAGCAATTTGTAAGTTAATGGACACTGAACGCAAGTCCACTTCAGTGCTGGTGAAAGCCAGCCCTTAGTGACATCCCACAGGAGGGTGGGATGCACCGAGTGGGCACTCAGCCCTCTTCCTACAGGAGCATGTCCTGGTGGCATCCCCACTGCATGGGAGCTCCTTTGAGCTCATAGTCCTGTGTCAGCCAGTGCTGCTGAAGGGGAGGTCAATCAACAAGCATGGCCAAGCATGTTTGTCCAGAGTGAGCCGGTAACTAAAATTTGATCCAAGCAAAGAGAAAACAAACAAACAAAACAACAACAACAAACAAGAAAGAATAAGAAAAATAAACAAAGCACTTGCTGTGAGAGAATCCTCGGAATCAGGTGGGAGTGCTCAAAGAGGCAAAGGGTAATAATAGTATTTAGTTCTCTTCCTTATAAAGCTTTGGGTGGCAAGTGTTCACCTTTACCATCTCTGCCTGCTGCCCCACACTGAGGCCGTGCAGCCCATGGGAGCTTGACTTGCAGCATGGGAGTGTGGAAGTCAGAAGGAAGGCTTCCAGATGTGGTCAGTCATGAGATTCCCAGGAGCCGTTGCAGAGCCTGCTGACTGCTGGCACGTTACTGACACAGGTAATTGCAGCTTTCAAAGGAAGGCCTCTCCTGTAACTGCAAATTTTGGAGAGGAAGGAGATAGCCAGAGGCCTGTGGTTTGAATTCTGGATAGCACCTCCACTTCCGGTCTGCAAGCAGTGAAAGGCCACTGGGGCGAATGGTGCTCCTTATATTCTCCCTCAATGGCATGGGAAAAAATGTTGTAAGCTTCATGTGCCAAGATGGATGACATTAATTTTCTAATCCCAACTGCAGCAGATTCCCTTGGGAGAGGTGGCACAGCATCTGACTCATCCCTGGTGGGGAGTGCTGCTAAGTGACCACAAGTTAAATAAACTCAAATTCCACAGTCATGACTGAGGGATAACGAAGAAAGTTCCCTGCGTGTAATTCCTGCAGGTGTTCGACATCTGGAGCTCCCTCAGCTCCCATTCTGCTCAAAGCAGAATAAATTATTGTGTTTGGGGGTAAAACAAGAAATACAAAGATCTTTATGGTGAACAAACATTGTTTGTAGATGCTGGCTACAATCATTCCCTTGACAAACAAATTTCCTTTCACTATTACAACAGTCTCTTTGGTTCTTCACAAGCTGAAAAAGTTACCTGGTCAGAACAGCCCACATAAAACACTCAAATAAATTCCCAGGCATGTAAGTCATTTGTTTTATCATGTCAGAAAAACAGAGTTTACTTATAAAGCCACATAACCCCATAAAGATAACTTAAGCTGAAATCCAGCAAAGCTTCTTATTTTTAGTAGTTGCAGATCAGAAGTGGACATTTTACAAAGAAACCTACAAAAGTTGGTTGTGTGTTCTGGTAGTAATTACCTCCCACAAATATGACTCACTTCTGCAGCTTAAATGCAATGCTTTAGTGTCCCAAAATCAACAGTTTTATAAATAAATCTCTGAATCACAGACCGAATGCCTGAAGCGTTCAAATATTTCTTACTGCTCTGGGAAGCAGTTTTTATTTCGGGCTTTAACTTCGTAACTGTGAGCAGCGCTGATACTCAGGGCAGTAAGCATGCACCGCAGCCAGGCCGCAGCGAGATCTCTGTCAGCGCAGCCCCGCGCCGAGCCGTCCCGCTTCAGCGCTCAGTCTAACGTCAGTCCGGGCCGCCCCTTCGCACGGGGGCAGGAGCAGGAGCGGCGGCTGCCGGCACACCCCGGGCAGATGAGCGGGAGGCGGGGCGCGGCCTGCACCCCCCCGAGCTGGAGGACCCGGCACGGCACGGGCCTGGCGGGAAGCGCTGTGCAGGCCGCGCCGATGCGGCCGCGCTGGCAGCCTTGCCTAATTTAGAAGCGGTTGAGAAAAAAAAAAAAAGAAAGAAAGAAAGAAAGAAAAAGAAGAGTAATCTCACCTGAAGAGCTTTGCCCTAAGAGAAATTAGGAAAAAAAAAAAAAAAAGCAGCACGAGTTTGTGTTAAATCCTGTGGGGTTCATCGCGTTTAGCAGCACATTACACTCAGATTTTCCCTGCTCAGGAAAAAAGGTCGCTCTCCTCAGTGACACTGCTCTGCCTGCGCAGCTTTCCTGACTCAGTGTGGCCTGAACTACGCTGCTCTGATAGCTCCCAAAGCAGAAATGTCTGCGTGTGCACGTGGAACAAGTCTTGATTTTACACAGCGAAGTGCAAAGCAAAAGCACATGGAAGAAATGCAGATATGCAGATGGAACTTACAGACCTTCCGTCTTTATTTAATTGCAAACTGCCAGTTAAAATCATTTCTGCATCTGGAAATGCTGGTGAAAAGCTGTATATGGGGAGTCATCCCAGAACGTGAGGTCCTTTTTATTTAATTAGAAGGGAAAGAATGAAAAAGGGCGAAGGCATAAGAACAGAAAGCTAAAGAAATAGGAGCTGAAAAAAAAAAAAAAAAAAAAAAAAAAGAAAGGAGGAAAATAGCAGGGACATTTCTGATGTCATTCTCCAGCAATTAATCACAGATTAGTAAAAAGTTCAAGCGCAGAACCTGCAGCCTTATCTTGGTTTCTAAGTCTCAGTGTGATCTTCAGAACAGCCCACTTAGGAGAAAATGCATTCACCTCCTGGCTGACTCATCCTCAGACATTTGCCTTTCGCCTTTATTTGTATTTCTGCTACTACGGAACCTCTGCTGCTTTGCCAAAAGCACCTTTGCAGGACTCTCCAATCTCTTGTTTCTGCAGCAGGACCGGAGAGAGACCTGCTGCCCTGCCTCCTGAAATGACAAATGCTCCACCTGTGATTTCTTAAAATGCTTTCTTGGGAAGAGATGAGGAAATTATATTCTCTCAGTTTACTTCCAGAAATTGGAAGGTTTGCTAACTTAGGCTGAGCGTTACATCTGTTTACATTCACTCCATCTAGAGATTGGTATTCCTCTGATACTCCACAGGTAAAGATTAGGATAAGGCACATCACTACAGACATTGGGAAACTCCATTTTTGAGGACTGTGCACTGTACAGTTGAATTGATTGCATGAAGAAACTGCATGAAGAAACTTACAGGAAGCTGCAGACCCTGTTCACATTGCTGGCTTCACAAGCCTACAAGCCCCAGTGCAGTGTGCACACACACACTGTCTCACATTATATTAATTGATGCAACTCCCTCAAAATAAATAAATAAATAAATAAAACAAGGCAACCAAGTTCTCATGATTTTCCTAATTCTATTTTAAGTTTTACATTATTATTTTATGTAAAAGAGCAGTTCCAGGAAGATATTAATGAGGATAAGAATGCATCATCAGGATAGCATGTCTTTTCAGTGTCAGAAAGAATGAGCTAACAAATAGAAATGAACTGGAACTTACCAGTAGTAAGTGTGGGATTAGGATCTTTGAGCAGCAACAAGGAGGAAGAGGAAACAATGGAGGAAGGAAATGAACACCAGTGCATTGCTTGATGGCAGGATTACTGTAGCCCACCAGACAGTGTAATTCTATAAATGACAAAAATGATCACAGGGACTATAAAGCGTTGACAAAGAAAAGGGAGAATTAGGACCTTTCTGCGAGGCTCTATGCACCTCACCTGAAATCCTTTAGCCGTCTGTCTATCACATTCAGACAAAGTCAAATTGGGATAGGTGCAGAGGAAGACTGCGGTGTTAAGCAGTTTCTATTATGAGTGTCCTGCTTTATGAGATTAAGAGCCTGCTAAATAAAGCCAGTCTTCTGTTCTACAGTATGTCCAAAGCCATGAGGGTACTCTCATAGCCTATGAATTCTCCCCATTTTCTACCAAGCCCCACTTCCAATGGGAAGCAGGTTTTTCTTAAATAGCCTTAGGAGAGACCACGTACCCTCTCCTGCATGATGGCTCTAAGAAGTGGCAGCAAAAAGTGCATCAAATAGAAGCACCCCAACCCTTAACCCATCAGGAACAGAGGAAGCCCAGATTCAGCCTTTCCTGCTGCTCCTGTAGATTTCTGCTGCTCTCCCTTTGCTTCCCAGAACAAACACATCACTAAAGGTCATGTTTTTCATCGGGGACTGCGAGTTCCTGCACAGGTTGTGCCCAGGGCAGAGCTGCGGCACAGCACCCCATGTCCTCACCCGCTCTCACTTCCCTGCAAGGAGGCCAGCATAATTGGCTTCCTATTTTTGCTCTTGCTAAAGAATGCCTGAGAAGGAAAAAAATCTCTTCTAGGAGGAAACAGGTTTGAAAGAGAAGAAATATGCCCCAAGCCTACTGAGCTTAGTGACTGTAGTGATATACCCCCTAGACATGTTTAGACACTTAAAGGAGGTGCTCCAAGTCTTCCTCCTGGTGTACCTGTGCTCTGTATGAACACTGGTCTCCCAGAGCATGTGATCCCTGCCGTGCAGAGCTGCAGACAGAGGCATGCTGTCCCAGCACGGGCTGTGATGAGTGGAGCAGAGAAGTACCCGAGGGAGGCATGGAGCAGGTAGGTGCCGGGAGCGGGAGATCCAACCAGCAGAGAAAATGAAGCGTCCACAACACAAAAAACAGGCAGGGGCTGTCCTTTGTTTCTTTATTTGTGACTTTGCAATGTGGATTTGATTACAGTGCTCTGAACTCAGCAGATTTCCTCCCCGCGCGCAGTGGAAAACATTGATGTCCTATTTACAAAGAATTTCTGGGAAGCCTGTTGCACATACGTATCAACAACTGCCTGCTTGGATGGTTTTTATTTAATAGTGTTTTGAAAAGCATATGGAGAAGATTTCTACTGTGGTACATTTAACTGAGAAATGTGTTGTGCCTGGAGGAAGGAGCTTTTAGGAGTTACGCTGCTTTGTATCTGTGAAGCGGGCTGGTGGAGGGATGTGCTTTTGGGCTCTTGTTTTGCTGTAATCTCTGGAGCCTGTGTCTGGTTTGTACCTTGATGGAGATCTTGGTTTGTATGCAGGCAGAGCTCAGTGCAAGTTCTAGAATTGGTAGAATTTTTGCTCAAGGCTTTGAGTTTTATAACATTTTTTATGACATTTGCTCTTTGGAACAATATCTGCGATACGTTCATTTTCCTTTACTCCAAGCTCCAGCAATCACCCTAAAAAGGTATTACATAATGTACCACATCTGGCCTTGAAAAGGACGGTCTGTATTTGGGTCACGATCATTACTTTAATGGAGGCACAGTGAGGAGATTTGGAGATAGGTAATGTCCCCCAAGTTTGACAACGTCCTTTTATGGTATTTGTTTTAACTAATGGTTATTTATTTCTAGACCACAGAAGGAGCCTTTCACAGCTGGTGCACAGGAGCAGTATAGAGTACAAGCAAGATGCGTCTGCAGTCTGTAGGAACCCAACATATCCTGCATGAGCAGGAATTGCAGCCATTGGACCCCACAGCATTTAGCTGCTTTTGAGTTTCTGATGATTTTCTCCATTGCAAATAATTTCTGAATTTGTTAGCATGCAGCAGAAAGCTTGAAAACACAAAAGCAAACCAATGTTTTTTGGACAGACTTTTTTATTTCAAGATAACCCAGTATCTGATGCAATTCACTTTAAATAGTACATCCTCAAATTATTGTTTTAAAAGGTTCCTTAAAAATCATGAGGGACTTTTCTGTTTCCTCACTGAAATTTACAGCGGTCTTTTCAGCAAGGAAGAAGCTAATCAGGGTGCCACATCTAAAAGTCTTTGCACAGACAGCTAACCAAAATAAAGGTAAATGTGCATGTAAAGTCTTTGCAGCAGTCAGACCCAACTAACCATAAAAGCCGTATAAAACAATTTCATTGTCCAAAGCAGAGAGCAAGCCAGAGTCGTGTGACTGTTTGGTAACTTATCTCAATTTCAGCAAGTTGCAAACATGTAAAGTGCAGATTTCTCAGCTCCATGATTTTAGGGTGAAAGGCAAACCCTCCCCAACATTTCAAACAGATCTCACAGTTACTTGAAAGTGCAGCCTGCATTACTTGTAACCAAAGTGTTTCTCTTTCAGGAAATTCATGCTTGAAATCTCTGTAGGGTAAAAAAGCGTACCCAGCCTGGTTAGAAAGCTGAGTTCCCAGTGCAGGCTGAAGAATGCAATGCCTTCACAACACAGCAGATAAATATGCAGAACAAATGTATACACACTGTATACAGCAGCATATCTGGGAAACAAGAGGGGGAACTGAAAGAGAAAAGAGTGGGAAGTGGGCAAAAGAGGAAAGGAGACTAGAATAAGCACGAACAACCTGAGTCAACATTAACAAGAAAAGACTCCCTGAAGAGAAGAGGTCCCTTTCTCATGACTTCTCTGTTTATTGATTCAAATGGAAGAAGATAGATACCACATTGTGAACCTATCTTCTAATTAGAAAATGAGCTAAAAGATATAATTAAAACATCTGATTTTAAGAGTGCATGAAAAGCAACCTTACTGTTTTGACTAGGACCTGTTTAGTCTGCTTTGAGCTTTTTAGAAGCTCAATATCAGAGGTTATGGAACAGATGGAAGAAATCATGCCAGCACATTTTTTTCCCTTTAACCCAAATAATAGGATGTGTAGTAGGTAGATAAACATGAGTGGTAGACAAAAACCTTTACTTAGCTGTTAGAACACAAAAGCACCATGGCCTCTGTGATTTTCAATTACTGAACATTGGTGTTATATCTTTAGCCTGTAAACAAATAGAAATTTGCAGAAATGTGTTAAAAAGCCCTATTTCACATTTTTTAATTGTATCTTATATGGGTGGGATGATTTCAATGCATGGCAAACCAGTTGAATATTCACTGTCATTGCAGCAGTCTGACTTTATCAAAGGCTTCCAAAAGGCTTGGAGGCTGTGCAGTGTCCAGGCTCAGCTCGCAGCAGTCACAACCAAGTGCTGTCATATGTTCCTTCCATGCTGTCTAGGTCCAAGGGGCCTTGAGGACATGTGCTTGCCCGATCTCACACAGGAGAAGGCTTTGCTGAGCTTGCAGTTAAGGGAAGGCAACTCCTCCAGGGCCTGACCCCACACCGCCAAACTCTCCAGCTGTACTTCCAATGATTCTGTTAGGCTGTCCATCAGGCACTAGCTTTTCTCATTTGTAACCTGCTGGTTTGTGAACCTATCTCCAAACACTCACACAGGAGCAGTGCCGGCAGTGACTGCCCTGCAGAGCAACCTGCAAGGGCAGACAGCCACAGTTGCTCTCTTTGTGTGGAAAGAAGGTTGCCACTTTTCCTGCAAATAGAAATAAGGTCATTAAACAGTAGCAGCATGGAATCTCCCCTTTTTTTATTACAAGATTATAGCAATGACTGCAAAAGGAGGATGTGTGCCCAAGTGGGAGCAGGGGGGATTTTTGGTATGGTGGAGCTCTGAAGAAGACCCAGAAGCAGGGTCTCTAGCAGCAGCACACCAGTGGCAGCCCTACTGAGTGTCATATACTGAACTCAGAGCTGACGGAGAATGGATTTAAGACAGAGAGAAATATACAGATAACAATTGATCTCCGCTGGCAGAGTTCCAAAAATATCATCATCTTCACACATCATAGATATCTTGATAGATTGGTTAAAACCTCCAGTACCCAAAGAGCATTTGGTAGTGCCTTCTGGAAAAACACCTAGGAAGGAGGTGGTGAGTCAGCTCAATTTTTGTTTTTACAGTGATGTTAAGGACCGAGTTCATTTATAAGAGAGAGAAGTCTGCACCTCTGAAATCTTGTCTATATTAGGGAATTTTACTCATAAAACAGGGAAGCAAAATAACTTTACACATTCCATCAGCTAAGCCCCACTGAAGTTAAAGTTGCTGGGAGGTTAAATATGCACATATTTCTGCTGCCATTCAGCGTTTTTCCTGGTGGATCAATCAAGTGTTCCTCAGCAGGCTAATTCTGTCCCTGCTTTGGAGCATGCTCAGAGTTGGTGATTTTTATTTTTTACACATTCATGTGCTAAGTTTTAACAAATTTCTACTGTGATTTCTACAGTGTATCAGCTGGGATTTTTCACAGAAAGAAGAAACATCCCAATAGGTGGGTGACATTGCCAAATTTTAAGCAAGATGTTCAGAGCTTCTGTATATGTTCACAATGTCTTTTTGCTTAATTGCTTTATAGACACTGATGAACCGTTACCCACATTTGTCTCTACTCGTTCTCTACTGTAGTTCTCCCCCAAAAATCAGATTGCAAGAGATATCCAGAGAAGAAATCTTCTGCCTAAACGGTTAAAACTTAAAACAACCAGCAGCTGAAATTGCAGCCAACTAAAAGCTGCCTCTTGTAATGGAAATATCAGATATTCTTAATTGTAGGTCACCACCAGTTCTGCCTACAACAGAATACGTTTACTTTCATCCATAAAAATGAATGGAGTTAAGGGGGAAAAAAGAATTCCACCTCTTAAATCCAAAATCCAGGCTGCTCTTCCCTGCTGGGCCAGCGAGCAGCTACAGAATTCCCACCCCACTTGTTTGCTGTGGTTACACAGCCCTGTGTTATTTCCACTATCTCACATACAGAGCCAAAAGAACTTGGAAGATGAAAAGACTTTTGCTTTCAAATATTTTCCTTTTAAAAGCAGAAAGCTAAGTGTAATTCTATTAATGCATTCTTATTTTGGAGGGACCGCTGAAGTCAGGAAATACCAAGTCAGTGCTCTATTCTATTCATTGTGCAGACGTACCACTTTCTATTCCTCTTTTCCTTGTTAAATAGAAGTTGTTGTGTCATATTTTTATTATGGCATGTGCAGTGCGATGGGTTCTGCAGCAGTGCTGGAATCACCTCCCAGGGAGATTAGTTATAACTGAAAAGGACGGGCAAAAAATGAAGTGTAAAAAATGGCTGAAAGCAAGCCAGCTTGGGACAGAAAGCGGAGATCGTGCTCTGCTGGACCTTCTCTTCAACAGATTCAGAGCAAGGCTCATTTTCAGAGAATTTTCTGGAGAGTCTCACTGATGTCACCACAGATAGTATTGGTTTTTTTTCTTCTTCTTCTTTTTTTTCTGACCGTATGCCAAAGATTTTTACTCAGAAATCCTGGGGATGATTACCAGTTAAAATAGTTCGAAATTCTCTTGTTCTATACCTGTGCTTCATTATGTAGAAACACTTCATTCTAGGCCACTTAGGTAGATAAATGAAAAATGTTTAAAGTGACAGAGGAACAAAGCAAAGCAAAACCAACCAAGGGCTCTCAGGGCACTAACGCTGACTGAAGTCTGACCTTTCCTCTCCGACAGAAAGCCGTCCTGCCCCGAGGCTCTTCCTGACGGAGGAGCATCCCTATCCATCGCCTGGTGCTTTGCAGGGCTTCCAATCGGATCTGGCGGCTTTGTTCTGCTCGATAGCACGATAATAGGTCGTTTCTCCGACCCGCGCCGTGCCGGTAACAGAGAGGTCGCCGAGGCTCCCACGTTAAGTCACTGGGGTTAGGAATGAGACGCTAGAAGGCATCTACAGCGTTGCCACTGAAGCCTGTTCTTAGCCAGAGCTTCGCCAGCAGAGCTCATTCGCTGGACTTCATCCCCAGAGCACGTTTTTACTCTCTTGTCGGCTTTTTGTTGCATGTCTTTTTCCGAGCAGCTCTGCAGGCTGTGCCCGTGACACCGCCTTCCAGCACCTGTCCTTCCATCCGCACTGAGCTTCGGGGGACAGATTCCTTTCAGCTCAGTCCGTCCAAGAAACAACATTTTGCTTTCTACTGCCCTGAGATGAATGGACTACAGACTCCCACCAAGTTGCACTGAAACACTCTCATAATGACACAAAATACTACTAAATACCAAATGCACTGAAAGAAACCTGCCAGATGCCATGTATGACCAATTCAAGCATGGAGAAATGGAGGCTGCTCACCAGTGGCTGGGTCTGGAAGAAACATAGCACTGATGCGGGCAAGTTTCATGGTAATGCTTACTACGGACAGCTCTGGGTAGTGGATAATAGGTCACTCCAAAATTCCTTCTCCAGTAGGGATCCTCCAGATGAAATCAATTGGAGTGAAGCTGCATATGAGTGCAAGAACAGTTTTCAGGTACCATGGATCATGGGCCTCGCTTTTCATTTTTCCTGGGTGTTAAAGAAAAATAAATAAAGGCTCTGAAAGCACTCCAAGGCTCTGAAAGCTTTCCTCCTTAACTTCCTCACATCCTCAGCTGTAGTTAGGACTCCCAGAGGAGAACTTGTATTCACTTTAACGCCTACTTGACTCAGCAAAATGTAGTGAGGCACTGGCCAAACACTCCCTGAGTCCATTTCAGAGAGCTGTCAGGGAACAGCCTCGTCTTCCTCCTCCTTAGGCGCCCTGCAGATTCCTGCTCCAGGATCGGATGGATAGCAGCACCATTGGGCGAGCAGGCAACGCTCCCAGTGATGGCTGAGCTGCTTGCACGCAGAGCGGCTGACAACCGGCTGCACGTCTGCTGCTCAGTAAAGACGTGGTTGCAGCCTGACAGAGCAGCACTGAAAATTTCATAATGGAAAATGATAACAAGGAGATTGCCTTCAGCCTTGGGGAATGTGATCTAATCCCAAACGGGGGAGGCATGCAAACAAACCTGACACTCTTCTGCATGAACCTTAACCCTTAAGATATTAAGATATTTTAATACATATCTTAACCAATCTTAAGCTTTGTGGGTTATTCTTATTATGTTTAATTATTTTATTGTTAAATTGCTACTCATTATTTTGTGCATAGCACTAAGCCAGTAATTTCTTAAACACTTTGGCTCTCTTTAGACAGAAAGGTTACACTCACTTAGCGTCTAAGACAGGAGTTTAGCTTTTAGCTGATAGTACTTTGCATCTTGCTTCAATATGTCCTGATTAAATATGGCAAGTTGAAATATTCCTTCTAATACTGGAATGATGTTTTTCTTATAAAAGGATCCCAGGTGGCCAGGTAACAGAAGAGAGGTCTCTTGCAGTGAAATGAATACTAATTCAAAAATTGAAGAGTACTGTTTCTAAATGGGAAAGATGCAGAAGTGATTGCAGCGCCGCGTCCTGTAACATTTATTCTCAGGCTCCAGATCAATGTCCAGATATTAATTAATCCCTATGTTTTCTTTTTGAGCTCATATTTACAGCTGGGAGGAAGTGTTCTATATGGTCTGGCCACACTGTCCAAGGAGCACTGGAACCCCTCAGAGAAACATGACTCTTCCCACGGCTTCTTGAAAATGGTGGATCTCTGTAACGAAACTGCACATTTACCTTTCATACACCATCTAGGAAAATACAGGGAAAGCCATATGGCTCAAGGAGACATCTCCTATAATTAGATATCACTTAACACAGTACCTAATTGTACGGATGCAGAGCCTACATCTGTTGGAACTGGGCGTAGCATGAAATGTCAAATGCAGATTTAGATGTGAGTAGGACTGCAAAGGGGAAATTAAGCATCTTTGACATTCTTTTAATTGAGAGAGAAAGAACTTTCTGATGAGTTTGTGAAGATTCTGATGGGAAAGAGCAAAAGGTTTGAAAAAATCTGAATCTTTTCCCAGCAGGAAAGTGGAATAAAAAGTACGTGGAGTACTTGTTACCTATCTCCCCATATCACTCCCCCACAGAGAAGCAGAGATTTCTACTTCTAGCTGGTAAATGTATTTTTAGTAGATGCTGTTGGAACAAGTAAGTCCAAATGAATGCTCAAATACTTCTCTTGGTTAAGGAATTTCCCATGTTATGATCTTGGTTAGTCTCTCAAAGCCTTTGGGAAGCCAGCTCTGATGAACTGAAAGTGTCTGATGTGATGTATGACGTTCTATATACTACATGTCAATTAAGTAAAAAATTAAGTCAAACTTAAATATCCAGCTAAAACTGTCTGCCATGGAAATTCTTTGTTGACTTCATAGTAGGGATTTGCATAAGCTGTATGGCTTGGATTTAGGAACTATTTTGAATAAAGAGGAAAGAAAAACTAATAAATCACTGAATATACATCTTCTCAAAGCACAGAATGAGATGGGGTAATGTTATCATGATTATGGAATTGGAACTGACTGAAAAGAGATTCATTCCTTTCTGTGAAGCTGTCATCCATGTTGGATGTAGTTGTAGCAGCTGAGAATAACACTGGTCACACAGCTGGACATGGTAACGTCTTCAGTCCCTTTAAATAAATGGGAGAAAGGCTGAGCCCGCAGCTGCTGGCCCAGCACAGTACTTCTTAGCTGAGCCGCTGCTGCCTGCAGTTTGCTGACACACCGGGATCTGACAGCAGCCACAGCAGCAGCAATCTCCTGGGGAGGGATGAGGGGGACAGCCACAGGCACAACCAAGGGATCAGGAATCTAGGCCAAGCCCACGACTTTATGACCTTCCTAATCTTTAAAAATAGCTTTATGCATGTGTGTGTATACACGCGTGTGCTATGTAATGACAGATATACGCTACAAATGTTATGTGAAATTGCTCTGCGTATTATTTAATGCACTGAAATGCAGGAAAAGCCTGTGCAGGAAAGGCACTCTGAGCTTTTGTGTGGTAGGACATGGCAAGTTTCACTGAGCAGCAAGAAAAAGAACGCACAGCAGAACTTACATAACGTTTCCTTTCCAGTTCAGCTATGGGTTTTGCTCTGGCACATTTGGTGATCCCTGGCTAGCTGGGTACCATTTAGTATTTTCTTCTGCTCATGAAGAATGGCCTGTTTGCAGAATTTGGCACTTCAGTCTAGGTTGTCACAGCAGTGGGCAGATTTGCCTGTTTTTTTTATTCTCCAGTCTTGCCCAAGTCCACAGAGCAGGTAATCCATCACTGTAGCACATGAAAATGACTGTGAACAGAGCACCAAAAATGTTTGTTTAGGATTCATATCAGTATGCATCTTTTTGAGAAGAATGGAGACCCGAGCAATGTTTATGTCCTTCAAATGCATTTTCAGAGGTTGCAAAACTAATGTAGTGCATCTCCATTAAAGAGAAAATGTGACTGATTCTGATTGACTCAGACTGAGACTACATTGTAGTTAAAATGCCTCAGAACAAACTCTGAAAAACAGTTGCCTGTAAGTTGTTTTTTCGCACCAGATGAATTAACAGTAGTTGCAAATATTTTTCAGACCTTCTGCAAGTAATGTTTAAGCAACCAACAAAGTTAAGACTGGAAATGTTAGAGAACCTATAAATACTATTTAGGAGCAGAGCAGTCTTTACAAAATGATCATCAACTAAAGATAAAACAGTCTAAGGTTAAACACACAAGTATTGTAGTCCTGCATTCCAGGTGAAGAGTGCTATTGTAGTGAAGAGCTTTTTTATTTTGCCAATTAATCTTGCTTGTAAAATTGGCAATTAATCCCATGAAATTCTTGTCATTATTCAGAATAAATGGCACGGCACTGAAGTAGCATTATTAATAACAACTAAGCAAATCTCTTCTAGCTCCTTGTCAACATGCTACAACGATGAATCCAAAATACAAGCACATCTGGCTGCAGGAACAAACATCAAGTTTTTAATTATACATCTTTGTGGGAAAGAAAGGTTTTCACAGTTAACCTCTCTTTGCAAAGATAGTCCAAATGTTTAAAAAGACTTGAATGGATTACAAATATTAAAAACAAGAACATTTTTAAATGTATAACAAATGCTTTTGTTGCCGTTGATGTTGTGTGACACATTATATGAGATAAAAATCCACAGGTATACGGCCTTGTCAGGGAACAGTGTTTAAAGATACTATGCAAAAACGACACTAGCTGCAAGCAAGGCAACAAATTGCAGGACTTTTCACCCTACAACACTGAGAGTAAAAGTTGGAGCTAACTTCGTCACACAGAGATGAAGTCATCTCCATAAACCTCAATAATGTCATGGCAGGAAAACCCATCACAATGACTGGACTGATGTCAAGAACAGGAGAACCTACGTGAGATGCCTGCAAGATATGTAGTTGTTGGCACCTCATGCTCTGCTGACAAGATCCCTACCAGCCCCAAAGGCAGACTGAAGTGATTGCAGAGGGCTTTATATCTGAGCTGGAGGCAGGTAAGTCCCACACATGATCACCTACTGTCATTACTATACATGAATTAGTCACCACCTGCAGAAATCAATTGCTTCAGCGAATGCCTACCAACAGCTACTGAAACAGGTAATCTATCTTTTAAATAGAAATAAAATTACCTAAAAGACACAATAAAATATTTTTTATTACTCCAGACAGCTTTTGTGTTTGCAAAACAATGGTCAAAAGTGAGATCTTGCAAGCACCTAAATCCAAAGCTGTCTGTGACCACAGAACTACAAAAGGACTGAGTTTGGGATGCACCTCTGTGTCCATCTGGCCCCACCCCTACTCCAGCAGGGACACCTGGAGCAGCAGGCCCAGGGCCACAGCCAGGTGGCTTCTGAAGCTCCCCAAGGAGCAGTCTCCACAATCTCTAGGCATCCTGTGCCAGAGCACCATCATCCCCACAGCACAGAAGTGCTTCCTGGTGTTTCTCTTGTTCCTTTGTCCCATTGCCTCTTGTCCTGATTCTAGGCACCACTGGAAAGAGTCTGGCTCCATTCATTTGCATCCTCCCCTCCAGTGTCCGTTTGGACACTGGTAAGATCTCCCCCCGAGCATCCTCTGCTCCAGTCTGAACAGATTCAGCTCTCTCAGACTCTCCTCACATATGAGTACATTTATTAATTTTGTGGCACCTCACTGGGCTGTCCTGAGTGCATCTGTCTTCCTACAGCTCCTCTGTGATCCTAGTTATGTAAGATCTTTCAGTTCAATTCTCCATGCATGTGAACACATGCTTCTGGTCGCCCCTGCACCTTCCTAGCTCTTCCTAGCAGAGCACCTGCGGAGCTTCAAGCTAGGCTGTTCTCTACCTGTCCCCAAGTGGTTTGGGGCATGCAGAAGATGCCTTGGAAATGCTGGGTGTAATTCATCTTTCATCTGGAAGCACAGTAGTCACTGAGTTCCTCCAGAATATTAAAACCCAAGGTTGGATGCTATCCTCTCATCAAAGAAAGGTGAATCATCAGCACTCATAAGCTGATTCAGCTCCCTAAAGACAATGAATGCTATTTGTTTTCTGTATCATAATTTAAAATAGTCATTGAACTGGAGAAAGATTATTTTCTAGCCTTGTGGCCAGAACATTCACCTAAGGGGTGAGAGGAGCAGAGGGTATTTCATAGTACTTCTCTTGAGATGACGCAGTCCTTGTCCTTCCTGCTCTCACGCTGTCAGACCACACCAATATGAGAGTACAAGAGTTCTCCAGAGTACCTCAGGCCCAGTGACAAAGGGCACTGCCTGCCACAGACTTTTCCGTGCAAACCTTCCCAATGAGAAGGAGCTTGATACAGGGAATTTTCGAAACACTGGGGTCTTGGAAACCACAGAAACCACTGGGTACTCTAAGCTTTTAATACTGGGGTTAAAAAAACATTTTCAGTTTGATCCCATTTAAAATCTTCGAGCTTTTTATTTCCAGGAGGGAAAAAAACATAATTATTTGCATAGATCTGAACTACTTTTTCTGTGTTTGATTTTGTAACAAAAAAATTCCTGATATGCATAACACAGGAGAACTATAATTGCTTTCCAATTCCTTATCAGCACATGATCATCCTTGCACTGAAATGCTACTCCCAGCTCCAGAAAACTAACCTCCAGTATATTTACACTAGATTTTACACAGCTCTGAAGTGCCAAAATTTTAACCTGTGCATTTTACTTTCAATTATAATGCTGTCCATATGTTTGTATCTAACAGACTGACCCTTATGTTGCCAAATATGAGAATCAGACCAATTAAGCTGAGCTCACCAATCCTTCAGCTCACACTTCAGAGAGAAATTACTACAGTCTCTGCATTTCTTCTTATGGCACTGAATGAAAATTTGTTGAGAACTTGTAAGCAAAATTAGACTTCTACTTATGTTTATTTGCTTGATTTAGTAGACATTCTTTTTTTGTTTCCTTTATGTTAATTCTGTATATTCAGAATACGTGTTGCAAGCTGCAAAACCATTACAGCTCCAAAACAACAGCTTTCCTGTATGTATTGGTAAACAATCCCTGCAGAAGTACTGCATGCTTTGCAGTGAGA